CCTGAAACGCAAAGCAATCAGAGCACATATGTTAACTGTCAGAAATTGACTGAGGCTGCAATGTGTTTTTGTGTGCGTGCATGTGTGTGTGTGTGTGTGTGTGTGTGTGTGTGTGTGTGTTTTGTTTTTTGAGAGAATAAGGGTCCTCTGTGTCCCTGAGAGGCAGCTGGTACAAATCTGACCCTCTGATTAGCACAACTAAGCTGCACTCAGCTGCTTTTCATGATATCACCAATCACGACAGCAGCTAATAAGACAGGACACACTGCAGTAGCCGCACAGGACCAAATGCCTGGCCCAGTCAGCATTCTTCTCTTGCTACACAGACACACACAGGCACATGCACACAGAGATGCACATATACACATGCACGATATATGTTGCAAAATCATCGATCCATTGCACCAAATTGCTTGATCCTCACAAGGTTCACGTGCGTGCTGCAGCCTATCCCAGCTGATTTTGAGCAGTAGGCGGGGCACACCCTGAACTGGTTGCCAGCCAATTGCAGGGTACACCTAGACAAACAAACATTCGGACCCACAATCACACCTAAGGATAATTTATAGTGTTCAGTTAACAGACCGTACATCTTTTTAGAATGTGGGAGGAAACCGGAGTACCCGGAGAAAACCCATGCAGGCATGGGGAGAATGTGAAAGCGCTACATACGGAATTGAACACACAACCTCTGCACTGTGAGGTGGACATGCTAACCAGTCGATCACTGTACCGGCATAGCAAAATCAGATAAAATGGAATTATATGGGTTTAAAAAAAAGAAGTTATGTTTAACCTAGGAGTTTTAAGTTTTTAAAAATGGCCTAGATGCGCCTATGCTGAAGTCCACTTTTTGGGTAGATATAGAAACTGCCAGTGGGTGTATTGATTACAATGTGTGAGAGTGCCACGATTAAAAAAATGAATAAATAAAGATATTTTGCTCCAGTTAACAAAAGCAAAGGCTATGAACCAAGTCCATGTTCATTTAACTTTCCATTTCTGGATCGGGCAAATGTATTTTAAAATGAAATAAGGTTCCCGAGCATCCTGGAAACAGATTGCCCTTGACCTTAGATGTTCCACTGTGCATGATGTTTTGCTTAACTTATATGCTCGGTTGTATGAGAGCCACAGTGCACTGTCTGATGCAAGTCGTCTTCAAGCCACATTTGGCATCCCGTTGTGCTGACGGTTGGGGGCGATTCTCGGATCAGAGGTTTCAGGCCACTACAGACAGGTCTATGGTTGCGAAAAAGACCGGGGTTCAGGGGTTTGTACGTGAAGTTTGAAGTAAGTCTGCGAGTCAATCAAATCTGATGAAGTTTATTTACATGATGAGCGGCAGCACAGGAGAAAAGGAATATTATAATAAAATATCAATATATGGTAACCCTAATATCTGGGAAAGGAAAATATCTTTTTATCGAGCGACTCCACAACATACCCCATGACTGTATGCATGATTCTGGAGTAGCCCAGCTCCGTAGAGTAAGGACAAAATTGTGGACCAATTTTCTTGAAAGGCAGTCTCTCTTTGTTCTTCTCTTCTTAAATGTACACATGCACTTGTGCACACACAATCTTACACACACACACACACACACACACACACACACACACACACACACACACACACACACACACACACACTGGGCAGCTCGATAAATAGCAATACTAAAGGCTTTAATATTAACACATACACATCGCAGATGCTTGTTTCTCTCATCCCAATCCAAAAGGGCTGTGGTAGGTCTACTGTTTGAGCGCCTGTAATGTTTTCTAACTCCTACCGAGCAACTTGATCGAACAGCAGCAAACAAAAAGCATTCTAGTAATAATAATAATGTGTTGGCTTGAGAAGAATGTAAGACATTTGTCACATATCCTGGTTAAACCAAGGTGCACTTACATATTCACTCTGCACAACAAGACGGAGATCACGCACTGCTGGTGCTTGCCGTTGGGAGCGCCGAAGCAGCGTTGGGAGGGGTGGCGTGGATGAAGCTAGTTTTTAAACAAAAGTGGGTGTACTCTATTTTTGTCGTTAAAAATATTCAGTTTCAATTTTGGACTGTACTTTTAAAAAAATATTTGTCATTAAAAACAACACAGCTTAATTTTTTTTTTTTTTTTAATGAATATCAAAAATTTGGGGGGCGCTATTATTCTCTTTATATAAATGGGCTATGTACGCCTCTGTTGAAGCAGCAGTGATATGGAAACCAGCAGAAGGGGTATTGTGTTCAGCCGTGCTCGCAGCAAGAACAACAAGTAAACAAAATCTGCTTTGGAGAGTGAGTATTGCAGTCAAGGGGTTTTAAGCTCAGGCTCGCGCCATCCTATCAGTGCTCCTCGTGGTACAGTAGCTCACTGTTGATAAGTTGAGTGATTTCTCAAGGGCTGTATAAAATCTAGTCCTGGCCAGAGAGGCACATTTCCTTTGGCTGATGAGAGCTGGAGGCCTTCGCATTGGAGCGTGGGAGGTGATGCACTCTTGGGGAAGATCAAGTGTGCGCCCATGGACTCCAAATCACCAGCCCCCAATTGCTGAGGAGCAACACAATGCTACATCCCTTGCGTTAAATCACTGCTGCTGAAGTGAGGTCATCCGCTTGTCTTCCTCTCTAATGGAGAGCTCAGCTCACTAACGCACAGCGGTAATGCACGGAGAAGGGACGCAAGAGGCACAGTGAGCTACCTTCCAATCTTATTTGTTTTAACTTAGGACTCATTTGAGGAGTTTGAGAGAGAACTGGGAGTGGCAGATGCCTTTGGAGTATGCTGTTACCACCGCATACTTACCAGGACTCCAGGAGCTCACCGCAGAATGCATGAGCGGATGACAGGTGATGCAAAACGGTAGCACACTGAGGTTTTTCATGGGCCTTCTACACCGCCCTGGGTCAATCAATACACATTCCTGTGCGTCCCTAATGCAACTGTAATCACTGATAGACTACATTTGGCCACTGGGTGAAGAAAGGCTGAGCCCACTAAGTGACAATGGATAGAGTAGTGGGGAAGGGAAACTCGGTTACATGATTTTGAACTAGTATTTCAATGGACTTCTGGCACATCTTAATTACTGGACATCAGTGTAAAAGGAGACCAATACAAAATCAAAAATAAAGCTGCAGTTTCACTTAATTTGATTATTCGGAATGAAATGAGAACTTCAGTCTGTCATGTTGGTGACAGTGAGAGCAAAATTCATTTGGGGTGGTTTTAAGTGCTTTGCGTGGATGCAAATATGTCCAACAAAAGAAAAAGAAAAACGTTAAAAATGTTAGCCTGTCAACAGACAATATTCTCTGACTTCAGTAGTCCTCCATGAAAGCCTACTGATTATCTTTTGTGTTTACATTTGCAAATATCTGTTTGCAAAACATGTTCGGACCAAAGAAGTAATTGAACCGTAATTAATTTATGGAAAAAAATACTAGTCAGTTTAATCTACTTTGTATTTCAAAAATAATTATTTGCCAACTATAGTATGAATAAACTGAGTAATTGAAATGTACTAGTTGAAACTGAAGCAGCCTCAGAACTCGTAGCTTTTTAATCAGCTCCCAAGAAGTGGCTCTCAGTTTCAAAAAGGTTGGCGAGTACATCACTCCCTCTCTCTCTCTAAGTGATTTCAGTGCATGGCATTTAGCTAGCAAACTACATTATTTAAATTCTTGTTTGTCCCTCACATTGCTTGTTTGTACAATAGAAATGATGTAAACGATCTCTGTCTAGATGTCATGTTTGCAACAGTGCAATTAACTGCTCAGGCATTCATTCAGGCTCCCTGGTAGAATAGCTCAAGTTCGCGGCACATCACTGCAAGAAATTAGATTCAAAAATAAGAGTGTAATAACTTAAAAAAGCTGATTACAACACCCCCCTTTGTCTACATTGCCTGTTTATGACGACAAATGGGACTCATCCAAACTGGCCAGATATGCTGACAACACAATTGCAGTTCAGCAGCAACAACTCCCCACTCCCCTCTTCCCCTCATGCCTACCTCTCGCCTCTGTGAATTGTTGACCCTCGCACACGTATGCATGCACGCACGCATGCACACACACACTCTGTGAGAAACACGCACACCCTAACGTTAACAGGAAGGGTGACGAGGCAAGAGTTCAATGGGGGTCACTGGGTCTCCACCTGTGTTACAAGGGAGGGACTTGTTCCAATTTAAAATTGGCAAAATCCACATGTGCTATGAATACATATCATAACAACAAGTGGTGCCTCTGCTAACATAGATAAAAGGTTGGTGACCCTAGAGACGGGATGGACACAGGAGGCAATAAACTCGGCCATGCGCTCCCTTGGGTGTGTCTGATCTCATTGCCAGGGTAGAGCCATGACCCTTCAGTCTCCCTTGATGACGACAGCTGCACGGCCTGTACTCCAGAGGGAAAAGACGGGAAAAGAAAACCTCTGCCTCAGAGCTCCCGGCATCCCTCCCAAAAAGCCAGGCGGGGATTAGGAAACCCCTACCTATTGTTTTGCTTCCTTCACAATCATTAGTCGATATGTCAACAGCTTGGTTTGCCACGCGTGTGCCACTGTTTTGTTCTGCTGGGATCTGGCTGACCCCAGATTCTCTGTGATGTTTTGACAGATTGTTTCAAATTCCTATCAAGGCAATGTTGTCTTATGAGCTAAATCAACTACTTGGACAATACAAACACGACCACACACTTACAAGAAAAACAAATAGATTGCCTGTGAATGAAATGAAACAGTTCAAGTTGTTTCTGTTTATTTAGATTTACGCTTAAACGAAACAGATGTGACGTAAATCGGCATCCTGTATTATGTAACGAAAGTGTAGAGAGAGGTAAAGCAGGCTGTGCGCTGACAAGGCCTAATGGCGATGAGTAATTTTAAATGGGATCAATGTTCTGAGTAAATACTCAACATTGTTCATATCTGAATGAAAATAAACACTCTCAAATCCAGTTTCGGATAGTATTTTTACGATTGTGGAAACTCACCATCATCTAGGTACATCTGGTCCAGTTCTTGAGGTTCCTGTTTGACGGTGATGGCAGGTGGACTTGATTCCTCATGAAGCAGGCTGGGTGAGTTGCCTCCAGCCTGGGCTGAGGTGGCTGCTGCCTGAGCCTGGCTGGGACTGTAGGCTTGGATAAACGGACTCTCTGCAGACCCACTGGGAGTAGAAGCATGGGAGGCTGGGGAGGAGGAAGGGCTGCTATTGGCGTAGACAGGGTGGAATCCATGGGGTCCCGGGCTGTTGAGGTGACTGGGACTTCCTTGAGTTTGGAGCATAGCTAGGGGAGAGCCATGGTCAGGAGATGCTGGATGGGTCAGGACTGGCCTGCCATTCTCCTGGAAGGTTGTCACCATTTGACTTGAAGGTGCTGCATGGGTGGGGCTATTCGGGAGGCACTTGCTAAATGTGACGGGGGAGAGGTCATGCAGGGTTGGGCTGGAATTGGGGGACGGTGATGGTATGGCAGCATTGAGAGAAGGGCAGGGAGGGTAGGCACCAGCCAGACAAGCATCATGTTCAGCAACAGGCATGATGGGATTAAGTCTGGGATGACCGAAATAGGGCTTTGAATGCATTGGCAGTACTGAAGTCCCCAAAGAATCATATTCATCACTGGGTTCTGTCTTTATCATCGGCACTGAAGGGGGAAAAGTAGAAAGAAAGACGGACATATTAAAAAATGTGCAGAGGCATCCACGTGGCACAATGCTTGCATGAGGGAGAATGAGTAAATCAATGGACACGCACACTCGTGGCCGCTGTGCTGCTCATAATCCAAACAAACAACCAGTGATTATGGCTCAGTGTTTCAGTGAGAAAACTTTGATACTCTATCATGAAAAAAAGGCAAAGAATAGGGGGGAAAAGAAAAATGGATGAGTCATCAGAGTGGAAAACCACAGCTGGTTCGAATAATGAATAAGACCTATTTTCTTTGGACTCTCCTCCAGCTCTGATATCCAATAAAACTCAACTTTAAGGCCGAAGGTTGTTCCTGCATGACGAGGAACCGCAGGTCCTTTTCTTTTCTCTGCACTCTAGAATCAATTATTTCTCTTAGGACCAAATAATAGGACAAAAAAAAAGGAGATGATTGGATTTGGATCGGGCTGTCTGGGTTTCTTAAGTGGCCAAGGAGTTGTGCCTTTGGTTTCAGGAGGCTTCGGGCCTTGCCGAATACGAGAGAGTGCAGTGACCCCACTTGATCATCCTGTCTCTGGAACTTCCATTCCAGCACAGGCAGTCTGCAGTGTTTCCTGATGCTTTCTGACTGACAGGTATCACATGCTTCTCTTCAGTCAGGACACAGGAGAGAGGACACAGGATACATTTTCTTTTTATTGCTGTGTTGGGCCTCCTCGGTCTCTATCAGTTACAAACAGAGCTTCAGTGTCTAGGTTTGGGTTGGAAGGACAAGAGGATGAGAAAGAGAGAAGGAAAGCCCGGCCGACCGAGGAGAAGTCTCCTCAATAGACAAAAACAATCTGGGGTGAGTCGTCGTCTACATTACCATTTACCCACCACTCGCAATGATTAATATGATAGAGTGAACACTCAAATGTATAAATTCGGATTCATAAGAGATCATACAACTACTCCTTAATACAATTTAAATTGATTGATGCCAATGATTAGAAATGTTCTGTTAAAACAGCAGTGACATTTAATTGAAGCGAGAATGATTTCAATGTAAATACAAGTTAAACTCACATTGTTTTTCCCGTGTACAAATAAAAATTGCGTGGCAGGAAAATAAACTGCAATACATTAAAAGTCAGATGAGACATTATTTTTCAGTGTGTTGTTATTTTTGTGGGAGGAGAATTTAAAAGGCAGTCACGCCTGTTTGCCTCTGGGGTCCCGAGCTGTGGTGCGGTGATAACAAAGCAGGGAGACCATTTACGTCAGTCCTGTCTGCTTTGGGAGCCCAGGGAACAGGTTGTCTGGAGAGCATCGTAAGGCAAGTCCCATGATTCAAGGGCCTCCTCTGTCATGCCTCGGGAATAACATAAACCTCACATGGGCCACTCTACTGTCACACTGTCATTTTCCTTTTGGTGCTGCCTCACTTGGCTCTCATTTCAATGGAATCATCTGCTGTAGTTGTGTTGCAAAGGTAAGGTAGTATATGGTCACGGATTACGTTTTGTTAAATGAAGTTAAGGCAAAGGTATGGATAAGAAGGGCAACGCTGAGACCTGTGCAACATTCGAATGAAGGGTGGGTTCCAGCGGCATGTCTTGTGGAAGTCCCATGCAAACATGTCACATCCGATACAAACCGAACATATCTCTCCAAAACTTAATCCACGCATAGATCTCCTTTTCACTTCATGTGAATGTTCAGAAAACATTCCTCAGAAAAGTCCAATTTCATCCGACTTTTATTCCTACCCCAAACCTGTGGGTTATGGCCCAAGGACAGCTGATGCCTTGCACGTTTTTGTTTGTTTGTTTGTTTTTGTTTTTTTCCCTCTATTTCTATCAGTGTCCATTCTCTTGATCTACTTAAGATCATAAATAGCGGGTGCTAAATTGCATGTTCACTCTCATAGCTTGCCCACGCTGGTGGGTGTGTTGCACATGATTTACTAAAATTGTGATCGTTTACGAATATGCTCAGTGGTTCAGTCTAACCCAGGGGTCAGCAACGTGCGGCTCCGGGGCCGCATGTGGCTCTTTCATCCTTAAGTTGCGGCTCTGCATGGCTTGGGAAAATAAATTACAAATGTTCGATGGGAATGTATGGTATTTGTCTCACAAATGTGTATCACTTCTGGTATGTACTCTCACTGTACATTAGGTAGTAGCCTTGCTATAAAAATACTATTGAGAAGAAAAAGGAAGGAGAGGAGTTCTGTCATAGCAGATGTAGTAAATTGAATTAGTGTTGTGCTATTAATAGCTTGGTAAGAAAATACGGTGTTTGCCTCGACTCTGGCTTTGTTATTTTGCCTCCCGACACCACAACTTCTTTCTTGACACCTTGTGCAATTTCGGTGATCAACCTTCAGAGACGTTTGCGAGCACCTCACGTGTCAGCAGTACATTGAATAGGCAGCATGTGCAGAAAGCTCAGCGACACCCACAGTGCACAATATCTGAACAAAATATTTTATTTGTGTTTGTTCATTTGTTTAACTGTAGTTGTAAATGTCAATATTGTTGTGATCTCGAAATATTAAAATAAAATGATATTTATATTGTATTATTTTTTCGTCGCTTACAATACGTGTTACACTCTCCAGATTTTCAACCCAAAATAGGTAAAAGATGGAGAAATCAAAGAAAATAAATTGATATAAAGTCACTGTGCATGTCTGTTCCGTTCACTTCTCTCATCTGATTCATGACATTACAAAAATTCATTTTATTTTTTCAAGTACGAAGGTTTATGTGAATATACATATGAAACTTGTCGGGTTCAGTCCCTCCGACAAGAACTAGGTCTGCAACAATACAAAATATTCACGGTTTAGATCGATTCACTACATTCCTGTGAAGGTTTGATATTTTGCGTTTCAAAAATCAAAACAACTCACTGTGCCTACAAGATCATTGTCAGTGTTTATTTGAGCAAATATGACAACATAAATAAATGAAATGTGCAAAAAAGGGACCAATACGTAAGCGTGGACAATATGGGGTGATAAAGTTAACACATATCAAGGCAGATTTATCAAATGCTGTTAGTCAGCATTTTAGGCAGCTAACACGGTACTTCCTGTGTGCGCTCTTAACACCAATTGACTCATTTTCCAGTGCACTATGCGCAGACTGACACTAACTTACCTTGTTTGTATTTATTTTTTGCATGCGCGTGACAACATTGACACGATTTACTGGCCACGAACACACGACAGCGTGTGCGGCAATTACTTTAACGAAACCTGCGCAAGAACATGATACAAATGCATGCAAATTAGTCAGTGGTCAAAACAGCTAAATAAAAAAAAGATTAATGTATTTCTGGAAAATAATAAATCACATGGCCTTTTCTACAGGATTGGTATTTTCATGTCCCCCCGGGGCTTCACAACAAGTGGTTAGAAAATGTCCATTCCTTCCCAGCATGCTTTGCTGTAGTTATAATCCACCCTTGGGATTTTTTAATTGATATATGTATTATTTTGTATAGGCAGGCTGTTGTTTCTGGTCGTGGATTCAATTATTGTGATGACACTCAAATGAACAAAGTAGTACAGTCAGTGCTATAAAGAGCTCATGCCATGCATCCCACAATGCACTGCACCAAAAGTAAACATTGCCACTTTGGCAGGAGATAATATGGATTGTTACTTTGAATAAACACTTTTACAATGGTAGGCAGCTGTTGTTCACCAGGGTGCCACAAGAAGAGAAGGCGAAGGAAAGGGCCAGGATTCGACAGGCTACCAAAAGAGGAACCAACGCATACCCAATGGATAGCAGTCATGAAGGGGCCAAGAACAAGACGGAATTAGGGGAAATCCAGCAACTTCATAAACGCCATGCTTTTTTTCCATTTTAATTTAACTTTCCATGACTGGAGGGCAATTGAATGTACAGGTATGTGCCGATCCGGCGTAACATTGTGTTTAAACCTTGAGACAGCAAACTCGCCAAACTGAGAAAATTGAGAGGGGCCACCACCAATGGAAAACAACGCGCTGAAATGATCCAGATGCACAAAGTGCAGAGTTGAAATGGGTTTCGTCATTGGTGAATTGGCAAGGCTCCTTCTGGCTGGCTCCAAGTCTGCCTTTGGATCATTCAGAAGCTCCACAATTGCACTGGTGATTAAGACAGTATTTTGAATTCATTTTTGTTGCCATTTAAAAAATATTTACACGAGTGGAAAAGTGCTCCCCACTGCCTCTCAATTTGCCTGCACGATGCTGGAACCGCTTCACACCTTGTTCGCACCTGCCTCTCAGACACAAAGCTAAGTTCATGTACTTGCATAACAGGACTCCTCCTGCAACATGAAAAATCATCTGTAAATTAGTAGATCACCTTCCACAATTGGGTGTCTTACAACGACCAATGCTATAGACATAACAGTCTACAGCTCAAACGTCTCATTGTAGTGTCAAGATAACATGACTGTGTGTGTGTGTGTGTGTGTGTGTGTGTGTGTGTGTGTGCGTGTGTATAAAAACTGAGAACAATTCGTGCCCTATCAATTTTCCTCTATTTATCAGAAAACATGTTACTCCGTTTAGCTCTAACCACCAACCAATACACTGGGCACAAGTTTGTCTTAAGAATAGTTTGATATTACAAAGGCATCTTTGAACAGCCTGTAAAAAATAAAGGGGTTCCGAGAAGCTCATGCTTTGGTTGCTGGCAGGCATTTTTGGCATCTGTTCTCCAGTGTGGTTGGTCTAACTGGTTCTTATTTGAGGATCAACACGTCGCGCAAGAATGATTGGAAGCGCTTGAATTAAAAAAAAAAAAAAAACCTCCTTAGCTAACTAAATATGCGATGTGATCCTTGCCTTGAATATATACTCGACGGCCACAATATTAGGGACACACTCACAATCTAATGACATTCAATGCAAAAGCTATAGCAGAAATTCTGCCTTGATCAAGAATGATGAAACGAACAACACTAAGCATGGGGAGAATATCCAAACTCCACACAGGAGGGCCA